TTTTTCAAGAGAGTAGTAAATATACTCCGTATTTGAAAATATCGATGATAGAGGGCTGACGATAAGCAGCTAAACCAACGGTAAATTCTTGGAATATAATCCAAGTGGGGAAAAAAACATGTACATAAGCAGAATTAAAGGGCAGGTTCTTCCTTCTTCACCTGCTGTCCATCATGTGATGTGTGTGGGAAAATTGCCAGGTGAGCGTGTAAGTTTGCATGACTGCATCCCTAACCCATAGCGGCAGAGGAATGAAACAGATGGATGGCAGCACAGTGTGTAATCACCCACATATGCTGTGCAAAATCACCAGGATTCTGGCCTCTGTGTGTCAAAATCAAGTTGTTGTGCCTTATATTCCTATTTTGGTTTAATCCACATCAAAGCAGATCTGACAGATGGTTGTCCAATTTTCCCTTGAATGCCTCCTGCGTCAGAGCGCTCATCATGTCCCAAGGTAATTGGTTCCATTGTTGTACTGCTGTAACAGTTGAGAAGTTTTTATCTGTACTTTTAAAGCATGCTTCTGAAGTTTGGAAGCTAGTTTGTGGTTAGTACTGCGACCAAAAGACTCAGAAGGGTAAAGTCACACCATCCATCTTTCAGAACATCTCAATTCTTTTAAGTTATGCATGAACATCCATTCCAAAGACTCAGTTCATGAAAATCTGTATATCTAGCCTAAGAGTTGCTTATAAATAAATATTAATATTTATAATAATATTTATTTATTACACTTGTATATTGGGTGGCTTACGGCCAAAGTAATGTCATGAAGAATAAATCACAAATAAGATCTTTAAAAAACCAACAAGCATATATTTATTTATTTGCAGTATTTTTGCCCTGCCTTTCTCCTTAAAAGGATTCAAAGCTGCCATAAACAAATACAACAGCAACTTCCACTCCTCCATCCTCTCAATTTAGTCTGGTTTTCCATGTGATATGTTCTTCGTACAGACCGAATACAGGAGATAAAATGCACCCTTATCTGACACCTTTGCCTATATAAAACTACTTATGTACATATATGTATGTTTAGCCTATTCTTTATATTCCAACCTTCCTTTCTCTCCTTTTTTTGTGAAGGCGAGTTGCTTCTTTTTCTTTTCCTCTAATGTATGTATAATTGAAAAAAAAAATAACTTGAAGAATGCCCCCCCCAGAAGATCCTGGGTCAAGGGCCACTGTTCATGACCAGTATATGTATGTTTAGCCTCTTCTTTATATTCCAACCTTCCTTTCTCTCCTTTTTTTGTGAAGGCGAGTTGCTTCTTTTTCTTTTCCTCTAATGTATGTATAATTGAAAAATCCAGTAACTTGAAGAATACCCCCCCCAGAAGATCCTGGGTCAAGGGCCACTGTTCATGACTGACAGCTTTCAAGATTGTTGGTTGTTCTGAGTTTTTTGGGCTCTTTGGCCGTGTTTTGAAGGTTGTTCTTCCTAACGTTTTGCCAGTCTCTGTGGCCGGCATTTTCAGAGGACAGCAACCTCTGAAGAGGCCGGCCACAGAGACTGGTGAAATGTTAGGAAGAACAACCTTCAGAACATGGCCAAAGAGCCCGAAAAACCCAGAACAACCATTAGATCCCGGCCGGAAAAGCCTTCGCGAATATATTGAACGCCTCTACGGGGAGGAAACAGACAGAGCTTTCAAGATCCTTTTTCATTTTTAAAAAAGGCTCTTCAAAATGTTTGGCTCTATCGACAAACACTCCTCTATCGAATTTAGACTTTACAACATTAATTATCTGCCATGGTTCAGCAAGGAAACAGACTAAGACCAAAAAAAAGTGCATTTCACAGTACAGTCATATATACAGGCCTTCCGATTGCAGCCTTAGAGAGCTTTCTCTCTCCATAAGGAATAATCTGGTACCCTCTAGTGGCATAGTTTGAAACAGAGAAAGAGAAATAAGGATAAACTATTGGAGGTCTTATTAGAAAATATGCTTATTTATCACTGTTCCATGACTTACAGGAATGCATTCCTGTCCTTTTAACAAAAAATATGGTGGGGTTGAAAATGTCATCCCCGTGGAGGAGTATTTGGAAACCTGCTCCTTATGAGGGCACCTATCAGCACTTCTCTCGTTCTGGATCTGGAGAACTGCACACTTTTAAGAGGCTTCTTTGCCTGAAACCCTGTAGCCCCTACCGCTAAGCTAAAGCTACTCTTTCCCACCAGACAATTCCACCGAATCTTTACCATCTCAGATGAATCAGGGGATGCAACGAGGCAGGAGTCTTTCTGTCATGGAGCCCATTTCTGCAATTTGCTCCCCAGGGAAACCTTTAATTAGCACTGGATTTTTTTTTTTTAGGATGCCTCCTTCAACAGACAGGTTTATCTGATTTTAAAATGCTGGGACTGTCTTTTGTTATGTTGAATTATGATTTATCGTTGCTGTGTGATTTCAGCATCTTGCAAATTTGCTTGGAAAACTGTGTGCCTGAAGAGGAATTTTACAATCACTGACATGTTTTTATTCATATCTCGTTTGTATACAAGGCAATAAGCAAGACAAGCTCCTGTTTCACTTGGCCTGCTCCGGTCGTAACTCTACTGGTCAACGGCTGAATTCCGCTTCAGCTGATCTACAGAAGGAACTCTCGCTCCTGTACAGGCTCTAGGAAACTCACCCAGCCGTCGGCTTCCGTATAATTTTGCCAGGGCACGGAACAGATTTTTATACAGTAGAACTCCTAGGTCCACATGAGAATGTGTAGACTCCATTATGAGACCAAATACAAAACGATCTCCACTGTGGTGTAGTGGATAGAGTGATCTACTACGTAGGACTCTGGAGAACATGGTTCCAACTTGTTAGTGCAGAACACACAAAACACAAAATGGATTGACTCGCTAAAGGAAGCCACCATGTTCACAAGAGCTGAGCAGGGTTGCCAAGGACAGGTGGTGTTGGAGATTGCTCATAGGGCTGCCATAGGTTGGAGGCAACCTGCCGGCATGTAGCAACATGTGTGCATATGCACCATTTGCAGTTATCTGGTGCAAATGAACATTTGAACCTTGACATTCTTGGTTAACAGACACCAGTCAATTGAATCAACAAGAGCGCTCATCTCGAATTCTGAGATTTATGTTCCTGCTTGCATAGGTTTAAATCACATGCCTGCCACTGTTGTCATCTCCAGCTTACAAGCGTCTGATCACTGTTGCAACAGAGACACTCCCCTTCTCATTTCTGAGTACCAGCTGGCAAAAGGTCAAAGCCAGACTAATAATTACTCACCAAGATGGTTTTTCCTTTGTTACTATCCTGACACATTTCATTAAAACACCTTACGTATTAAATAGGACATGACCCGGATGCAAGAAAATGGATTCTAAATGAATTAAAGGATCTGAGAAAGTCTGACAAAGAATGTATAAAGTATGTGATTTTAAAAAAAATGAACAAATAGATGATTTGCTGGGTTCAGAGTTAATCCCGGGCAGATACACATCTTTGCCTGTGGTCTGTTACAGTAAAACTAGGAACACCTCCTGGAGCACTTGAAAAATGATTCTGTTCTAGTTAACACAAGGTTCTATGAACAGCAAGCTGCCATCCATGAAAGCTTATGCCAAATAAAAAGCTGCCATCCATAAAAGCTTATGCCAAATAAAACCTGCTAATAAGACCATGAACAAAATTCTCTCATGCTGAAGTAACATGCTGCATCTTATGAGTGTTCCTAACCAGAAAATTCAAGTACTGTAGATCTTTTCTGTTGTGTAAACAGACACTATGCTGCATCTTACGAGTATTTCTAACCAGAAAATTCAAGTAGATCTTTTCTGTTGTGTAAACAGACACACTCTGAGGTATAAATACAGTAAAAGGAAACATTTTGGTGGGAAAGATAAACCCCTGCTCTGTGGCGAGATCAGCTGCTTAAGTATGGCCAAGCTCTAGTTAGCTCTGATCCCTCCAAGATAACCCTGCTACCTGTTCTGGATATTTTCAAACAAACCATCCAGAAGATGTGGAGTCTTTCTGTTACCTCACAAGATCTTCCCATTATTACTGGAGGAGATGTGACATATCATAGGAAGGAGAAGATGCTGCTCAGGGCTTCAGTACTGACAGGATGCTGGCAGATGATCAAGAGATGAGGCTTACTTCCAGTGTTATGGAAACTCTTTCTGATCATACACAGTTGTGATACCCACATCTGCCTTCTTGTCTTCAAGGATCTGTGGCACACAACCGAGCTACTGTGTCAATGGAAGGACTGCCAAGATTTGGTCAGCTAGTATTTCAGAAGATATCAAAGATGTCTGCTCAAATGCCCTGCTGTATGTTTCCATCACAGTCAGATTCAACACAGCTCCTTTGATTTGAAATAGGCAAGTAGGCATCCAAGGGGGTGTAATGTAAAAAATAACAGACTAGGACTCAAGAGATCTGGTTTCAAATCTTCACTCTGCCATGGAAAACTCACCAGGAGGACAGGTAAAGCCACTCCTTAAATCTCTCACTTACCTTGAAAGTCCTATTAAGATTGCCCTAAGTCTATTTCAACTCTAAGGCACATAACATAAAAGCAACTGGGAAGAGCTTGAAAAAGTTACTTTGGGGGAGTACAATTCCCAGAATCCTGCAGCCAGCACTCTCACTGACCTTGTAAAATGGGAAATCTTGGAAGATTTAGTTCAAAAATGGCTTCTCCAAGCTCTGCAAGTGGGAGGACAAGAAGCATCCTCCAGTGGCAAAGTCTTTCCAAGGACCTCTAGTGCCGTAATGGAAAGAGAGTCTCTACTTCAACTTCCTCTGTGCCCCTCTCCTTTTCCCTAACCCCCTTCATAACTGTAGTTTGTCCCAGGAATGCCAAAACGAGTACCTTTTTTTTTGCAATATCAGTGTTGGACCAAACTAATGCTACTTATTGCAGGCTAGTGCCAAACATGTCCTTGCAAAATATCCCGTTTTCCATCCCAACATAAATCTGCCAGAGAAATGAAAGACACAAGACAACTTCATTGCAATGAAATGTTTAATGCCCTCTATATAGTTAATCATTAAGAATACAAGTCATAAGTCCTCTGAATAACTTTTGACAGGCTTCCTGCAGCCAGTTCAAGCCTTGACAACATACTAAATTTACATTCAGTGCTTTTGGAAAATAGTGTAAAGCAGGGAACGTGCAGCCCTCCAGATGTTGCTGGAGTGTAACTGCTACCAGCCCACACCAATACAGCCAATGATGAAGAGTGCTGGGATTTGTAGTCCAACAATTACCTGGAGGGCCACATTTGATGTCAAGGCAAGTAAGTGCACTGTTCTTTTAAATGAAGGCTCAGATACTGCTGGCACGGCATTTCAACCTCAACATGCACAACCAGGGCACTTGCTCAACAGAATGATCAATTCTTGATCAAGGCAGAAGCCAATCTTCGACATCCCTTTCACTTTGGCAAGTACTAAGTGCCACAACGATACAAAGGATAGTTCATAAAGAGAAACTTATTTCTCAAAATATCTAAATTGTCCATGACCAAAAACCCACCATCACCACCACTACAAAACCCCTTTCTTGCGTAAGTCCTAGGTGCTGCTACGAAACCTTCATCAAAAGACAGCTTAGCCCAGGAGGACTCACATTACAGTTGTTTATACAAGATATGGGAGGTTGGTGGTATGAGAGTCAACACATATTTGGGGGAAGGGAGAAAAAGGCTGACTGTGAAGGACTGCTTAGAAAGTCAGCAAGATGTGGGCTGCTGCTCACCTCTTCCCACATGAACACCACGGAGGCCAAACTTACAATTGTGGTTGGCTTTATGAGACCCAACCAAAAGATCCTCCTATATGACACAGAAAGCATCTCAGTACAGACTGGTCTTCTTCATGATCCTCAAGAACTCCTGCTCGTTGACTTCACCATCACCATCGCGATCTGCTTCATCAATCATTTCCTGCATCAGGAAAACAAATCACAGGGAAGCCACCATGAACTAAAGTACTGAATGCACCCTTCCTCTTCTTGTGTCCCATTTTGTCCTAATGTCCATCCACCCTCTTTCTGGAGCTTTTCACAAGTAGGATGAGATTTGAATAACTGACTACTCATGACTTTGCCACACGAATGAGGCATACAATTCCAGCCTATTCACAAATAGGTTCAATGACAATCCTGGTAGAAAACTGGAGTTTGCTTTGTTTATAATGCAAAGTCCTTCAATCTGTGCAGGACATGAAAAGTGCTGGCTCTCCAGATGTTTTGCAGTTCAATAGCTGGAACCACCAGCCAGCCCAGCCAATAGTAAGAGATTGAGCGATATGTAATGAAAAATATATTGAGAAAAAAAATCCCTATCCTTGCATTTATTTCTACTGTATGCTTCCTGCTGGGTTAATCAGTTACCTTTTGATCAGGAAGATTTCCAGTGGCCCTGTCTCTGCTATTTTAACAACCTGACACACCACAATTAAACAAGTGCAGGATTGCCACTGAAATGTTATTTTTAATTTCCCTGACTTTCTTCCCTAACCTACCTTTGGCAACTTCCCTGACCACCATTCAAATATAACCACGTTAAAAAATGAGTAGGTCGTGTTGCATTAATGCAAATCTTAATGAAATGTTCCACTCTAAAACTACACAAGCCTGAACTGCAAAAATATTTGTCAAAGTGAGAGATTTCATACCAGCTTCTTTCAACATTAACTGCAGCAACATCTATTTTGCAATTGCACCAAAAACTACACCAAGATACAAACCTCAATTCAAGTAAACTCTGAATGCTAACAAATGACATAACATTTTTGCTATTGTTTTAAAGGTATGCTAAAAATCATATAAACGTTCTATCTAAAATGGTTTCTCTGAAGCCACATTATGAAATTTATAGTTCTGAAATTGCAGTAATAATGAAGTTAGAAATTAGAATACACGTAATCTGCTTTTAAAGAATAAAGATTTAAGATATAAAACTATCACTTCTACAGTTTTCTCTTTTTATTTTGTAACTCTTTTAGTTTCACATCAATTGTTTCCTTTTCAATTTTTGGCTTCTTCTCTTAGTCTTTTTTTAGCATTTTCAAGATGTTTAATTTGTCCCTCAAGTTTCTTCTTTTCTTCTTTCTCCTAAATTCCTTCTTGTTGCTTAAGGTGCTCTGTGTGGCATGCATGAGCATGCCTGATGAACTACAACAGATTCATATCAGTTACAACAGATGCAAGTCCTCCACCGTTCAAAACAGCATCATAAATCTGAAGTTGACAGACAACAGGTTCTTCATGCAAGTTCTCAATTAACATTGACTTATTAACTGAAAAGCCGCTTTCAACAGAAGCACTACCATGAGACAGGATAAAACACATTCTGACAACAGCCCACAGGTCTGGGAAACCTTTGTTGGTCATCAAAATGTAAAACGTATCCAGTCCACCTTCATCATTTTGTTTTGCAACATATGCTTGAAATTGAGCCTTGAACTACAGTATATTGTGGGCTGCTGTGGTGAAAGTAGTGTACTGTTGCTTTGATTTTTCCGCTACTGTGTCATGATTTGTTGCATGCAGAGCTTCAAGAACAGCCCCTATTCTGGCAATTCCAGATCTGGCTTATATAAAAATGATAGTAGGCTCTAATACTGATAGGCCACACACCATCTTGAACTTCAAAGGACTTCTCTCAATCAACTTTTCAACAACAGCTACTACCATGTAGCAAAACTCAGCCACTTGACATTCACTCAGTTTAGTTTCTTTCAACAGCTTCTTTGCTGCAAAAGAAATGTCAACCTTGCTTCTGTAAAGCAAGTTCTCAGCTAATTTCATGTCAATTGTTAACTACTGGGAACCAGAAGATATGTTTTGCAGCTTTTCCTATTTTACGCAACAATTCATTAGCTTCTTGATTAGTTTGCAAAGTTCTTCATACAAAAAAAGGGGGCAATGTTTTTTTTGTTTTGGAACCTTTATAGAAATGGCTCACAATCTCCAGCAATCATTTTCATGAAAGCCATTTTGCACTTCTTGAGTGGATCTTGCATTGAAGCTTTTATACAAACTGCAGGTTTACTGTGGGGGAATTTTGCTTCTTCCACCTACTTATTGATGTTGTCAAAAACAGTCATAGCTCTATAAAGGCACTTAACATTCTCCGACCACCTAGTGGAGCAAAACCTCAGGGGAAATAGTGTGCTTCCAGTCATAGCAGTGTATGATGCCCTCCTAACTGGGGAATCTTTGAACAGATAATACATGTTGCGCAAGATTGACTTCAGGTCCCATTTCATTGCTTGCAATCCTGTTTTAAAAGACTCATGTACAACATGAAGGGTACAAGTTGCAAAGTGAATCAATTCTTTTCCTTCTCCTTTACAGTCAACATTGGTTTAATTTCTTCTTTTAGTTTTCTCAGAAAAAGGTGATTTATTACATTTGGCCCAGTCATAGATACCTGTAATAATTTTACAACTGATAAAGAAGACATGCCTTGTATTCTTGAAGGCTTACACAGCTGGAATCCGATGGCTGTTGTTGGTTTTTCGGGCTTAGGAAGAAAAACCTCCGGCTGGCATCTGATGGCTGTTGTAGGTTTTTCGGGCTTAGGAAGAAAAACCTCCAGAACACAGCCAAACAGCCTAAAAAATTTACAACAAGACATGCCTTCTTGAAACTTCCGAAGTTTTTACAAGACATGCCTTCTTGAAACTTCCGAAGGAGGTTTTCAGCAGTAGCAGTCTGAAGAAAAACACTAGATACCATGTGGAAACTTTACGACAGTAATCATCCCAAAAACAATCCATCTGTCCCTTTTGAACCACCTTATTCAAAGCTTCATCAAAACAGATAGCAAATGTTTGGCATCATTTCAGTTGTTTCAGTAAAAGATCAGAGAAATATCGTGCCAAGCAAAAAGCAACAACATACATTGCTTTCCCCCCCCCCAAAAAGATGAAACAAGCTATCTGGCTGAGAACATTTGCTTGGATAACTCACTGATGTTGTTACAAGAGTTGAATGACATCTTCTTCATCACCAGCTGCAAAGCCCACAAGCACTCTGCTGTCCTAACACAGTCCTTGATTACATAGGCAGCCATACTAGTTTGTGTGGTGAGTAATTCTTTGCCATTTTCATCATGCTGTTCATATTTTGCAATTTTTGCAGGGCTGTCTCTTCAATCTCTCCAGTTTTACTATCTGAATTTGTACTTGGCTTTGAACCTAAACATACTGTGATGGACTGCTGACTTGATTTAATTTTCAGGTTCTTCTGATGTCATGGTCCTTGCAATTGAGACTTCACAGCTCTAATTCCCATATTACTTAGTTCAAAGGTTTTGTAGCATACTTTACAATAACCTCTGCACCAGCAACTGGTGATAACCATGGAAGGAAGTCAGGGTGAAGTTTGAAATCCAGCCACTGCACATTAAAAACTGTCATCTTAGAAGCCATCTTCAAAATGTGGTTTCAGATTCAGCCATACACAGAACCACCTTGCCTGACATCAGGATGTTAGCAGATTTGTTTTCTGGCAAGTAGGAACTTTCGGAAGCTGGTAAAGTTTCACTTTTACTTTCTGGTTCCAGAAGTGAAATGAGCAGATCAGCAGCAATCTAGAGAAGCAGAGACGCCTCGTTTGCAACCTTTATGCATAGGAGAAGTCAGGGAAGAGAGCTGGTACTCTGTAAACTCCAAAAAGAACAAGCAATCACACTGGGGGAAAAATTACTTTGCATGGTGCAGAGTAGAAAGTGCTAGTTGACTGTGAAATCCAACAGCAGCAAAACTGTGCTGGGCTTAGCAGGAGACAAAACGTCCATGCCATACACAAGCATGACCTAAAACATGCTTATCTTTATATGCAAGTTAAATGCAGTACTAGCAGGTAGGGATGAAAACAGATATTTAAAAGTTGTATCTCGCTAAACGTTTAAACTAGCCTTGCTTTGCAAATGCTACAGGCAGACCTTGGAAATCATGCAGGGACAGAGCTCAACAAACATATTAGGCTGATTGCTGGGGGTGGAGCTGAGAAAAAGGTGGAGCTGGGAAAGGGCGTCATTAAGTTTTACTTGTATTCTGCTACTTTTCTATTCCAGCTGCCAAAAGAACCGATCATTCTCTTGCAGCAGCAGGTCAAAAATCCACTGCTTGGATATATTTCAATGACAATTTCCCTGACTTCAGACCAATTTCCCTGACTTTCCAGAAAGTGGCAACCCTGTGTGAAATTAGAGATGCAGAAAGATTCAGCAACTTAATCTACATTTAATAACTGATGTTAAAGACGCAGGAAAAAGTGCTACTACAAAAGATCAAGTATTTTTCACAGCTTTCCTCCACAGAACCAAGAGTGGTCTGTATGATCCTCCCTGCCCCAAATTTAATTCTCACACCAGAGGTCTAAGATAGTGTATGCTAAAGGTGAGCACCTGCCTTGGAACCAGACAGTGCATATTGTACCCGAGTTGTATTTTGAACCTGGGTCTTCCTACTCTAAACCCTTACTCTGACTGTTTTTAAAATGCCTACCCTGTCCCACACAAAGCATCTTTGCATGGAAAGCACCCTAACTACTCAAGAAGAAAAACACTCGTCAGGAAAATAATTCAGGAGCTTGCCTACAGTAGCTCTCATTATCTCTTGAAAACAGAATCCAAAATATTGAAAATACCCAACCATTTTCAAATGTGAAAAAAAGCTCTGCTGGACCAAGCAGAGGCCCCTCTAGTCCAATATCCTCTTCCCACAATGGCCAACCAGATGCGCCTGGGAAACCCAAAACAGAGCATGAAAATGACTTAGAAGATGGGAAACGTTACTTTTGTGGCTCAACGCCCAAGATTAGCCCAGCCAACATGGTCTTTGGATATTCTGGGAAATGTGGTAGAATAATAATAAGAGTAATGTTTCTAAAAGGACAGATTTACCTCTACTACTCCCAGCTGACAATGGGCAGTCAGTAGCTTTCTGTGCCTGAACAGGGAGGTAAAATTTTGCCATGACATTGTCTTCCACTTCACTGGCAATAGTACTGGTAGAGCAGAATCCATCCATTCTCAAACACAGTGTGCTTGGTAAATCCCTAAATGGAACACTTTTAACCAGCGGCTCGTGCCCGGCATGCAAATGACTACACATTCCAAACCTGCAGCTCCTCGTCTGTAAGATTCTCCCCTAATTCTTTGGCCACACGCTTGAGGTTTTTGAAAGAGATTTTGCCCGTTTCGTCATCGTCAAACAGTTTGAAGGCTTTGAGAATTTCTTCTTTTGAATCTTTTTCAGCCTTGCCAAAGAAAAAGAAGAAAATGTAAGCTCTCCCTTCATTGAGAATCCAAACAATCTGCAATCGAGGATGAAAAGAAATGGTTGCTGAAATGGGAACATTTCTGCCCTTATGTCACTAGCAGAAATTCAATGAAATTCAATTTAAGGACTAGCAGTTTTCAGCTTTTTAAACCCTATGCTGCTCCAGCAGAGTCCACTCCATGTGGAGAAAATTTTTAAGCAAAACAGAGAGAAAATCTTTACAGCAGCATTTGCCCTATCTGGTTGGACAGAAGAGGGCTATCAGAAAACTAGGGAGAGAACACCAAAGTCATCTCAAGATACAGATTCTGAAGGAAAAATGTTTCTTATTGTTTGTTACATGTATAAACAATTTTTCCTCTAGTGGCCTCAATGGGGTGTATATGACTTTCTTCTTTCCCATTCCATCCTCATAATCACCCTGTCAGCCTGAGAAAGAGTGAGTTCCGTGGCTCAGCAGCAACTTCAAGCTAGATTTTCCAAATCCCAGCTAACACCCTAATCCCGTGGTTCTCAACCTTGGGTCCCCAGATGTTTGTGGACTACAATTCCCGGAAATCCTAGACAGCACAGCTAGCGGTGAAGGCTTCTGGGAACTTTAGTCCCAGAACATCTGAGGACCCAAGGTTGAGAATGGCTGTTCTAACCACTATACTATATTATACTGGCTATCACCACTATGCTACAATGCCTCTCTTACCTGCAATGCTTTCCTGTCAGCTGCAAAAACAACTTAAAAATATGTATGCCCCTGCCAAAGGCACCAAAGTGTAACTATCATCTGGACTTACAAGACACAATTTTGTATGAAGTTGTATCTTGCACAGTCTGGTGTAAAGATTCTAGCAAGGAAGTCTTAGTCCCTTTACAATTTAGCAAAAAGCCAAGGTTCCGGGGCAGCTGTGCATGCTGACCTACCATTTTCTGGGTCATCACTGCTAAGAAGTCGCTGTAGCTGATCTTTCCAGTTCCTTCCTTATCGATGTCTAAGATCATTTTCTTGATCTCATCTTTCTTGGGTTCAAATCCTAGCGCTCTCATGGCAACCTGCAAAAAAGCAAAAACAGGCTAATATCTCAGCAGGAAAATGAACTGGGCAAACACCTGAACTGTCAACCTCCAGCACACAGAAGAAGCAGCAATGCGATTGCACCCGAAATGGAGAATTAGTTGTGTTTCTCATCTGCAAACTCTGAGATGCACTCAGATCAAGACAACACGTAGGAGGGCCCCACTGAAATTTCCCTTCCAGGATTGCTTATAAACAAAGACACTGCTGCCATTGAGCCACTGGCCTTAAGCTTTAGCACCAATGATCTATTTCATGTTTTCTCTTTAGCACTTTTTATGGTCTGCTATAATTGGGCAATAACAATTGACAGTCTGATATGGGAGTATGGACCTGACCATTTCAATCCCATTTTGGCCATGCTGACTGAAGTATTCTGGAAACTATAATGTCAAAAAATTACTTTTTCCCACACATACCTTTCCCTTTTCATTGTTAGCAGAAGCAAAAAACTCTCTTGACTTCAGGGCTGATTATGGCAAAAGACTGTACTATGGTGTGGGGGACTGTACAGCAGAGGTTACAAGGGCCATCTACTGCCCATCTCTGGCCCTACTGCTTTATTCCTTCCAGTTCGACTGCTAAGCAACCTACAAGAGCAATTCTATACATATTGGCCAAAATCCCACTGCTTAGTTACACACATAGAAAGCAAACAGCTGGCAGTTAAGGAGTCCTGGTTCGGATTATCAAGCGTGTGCTAAGCCAGTGTTAACTGTCACTGAGAAGATACTGAATGTTACACCGTTTGTGTTTCGCATGTGTGACTAAGAAACAGGATTTCAGCCATCTACACAAGGGGTAAGCCCCAATGAATTTACTGGGGCTTAGTCACAGGGACGTGTGTAATGCATTGCAGCCTCAGACATATTTCAGTCCCACATGCCAATTTACCTTCAGTTCTTTCACATCAATATTCCCAGTCCCGTCAGTATCAAACAAATCAAATGCCTCTCGGATCTCCTGCTTCTGCTCTTCAGTGAGTTCCGTTTTGGGGGCAGCCTTTTTCCTCTGAGCTGGAGCCCCCAATGCTGGCTTCTTATAGTTGGAGGCCTTAAACAATGAATCAGAAAAAGAGGAGACAACAACGTTATAAAATGCTATTCACAGGAGACACTGATCTCAGTTTTGAAACACTGCTTCAGAACCATGTAGCCAAGGTCTAAGACTTAGGAAAAAATTAAAAGGTGGAGAGAACAGGTGCCAAATTTCTCCAGATGATAAATCTTCATTCCAAAATAGATCTTTGGCACAGGGAACCACAGAGTGAGTAATCGGAGCCCTACTTCTAGAAACCTTAGATTGTAGAAAAGAATGTTGCACTTTGGAGACTGAATCTTATTCTGCAAAAGATCCAAAGAGCTCCTCAACCATCAATGCAAATTAGGTGCAACAATCTAAGGCAAACAATGCAAATTAAGCACAAAAGCCTACTGCAAACACCAAAGATAGTTGATGTGGCATTACCCTAAAATGTTGAATTATTTCCCATCCCATTGCCCTACATTTAATACATTGAGTTTGATTTACATAGCTAATGTAGCGTGTATTTATTTAAAATATTTTACTCTGCCTTTTTACCCTGCCTTTCTCCTTCAAGATACCTAAGCCAGCTTACATCGTTAAAAGTCAATATTTTAAACTAAACACAAATACTAAAAAGGACCAAGGAAATGTAGGTCAGATTAGCATTCCACTCAAGAAAGGTTAGAAGTCAAAACAAGAGAGAGAGAGAGAGAGAATTTACAGTATTAAATTCATGATTTAACTAGTAATAACTGGATTATGCAATTTATAAAACTTTGTACTGCCAAATAACCTTCCCCCCCTCCAAAGTACTCACTCACAGCAACATAGTCATGTCAATGCACCTTCAGTCTGGCCCTAAATAGTTTGATTGTTATCCAGAACCTGAAGAACATTTTCCAGGGGTTTTTTCCCAGGCAAACTCTGTCCTAGAAGACACTGTAGTTGTAAATCAGTATGCATGCATTTTTCTTTTGAGTTGGCTTAAAACAGTGGCTCCCAAAATTGGGTCTCCAGATGTTTTTGGACTTCAACGCACTGTAGCTGTAAATCAGTATGCATGCAAGTTTTATTTTCAGTTGGCTTAAAACAGTAGCTCCCAAACTTGGGTCTCCAGATGTTCTTGGAGATCAACTCCCAGCCCCGCTGTTTGGTGAAGGCTTCTGGGAGTTTTAGTTCCAGAATCCTTGGGGAACCAAGGTTGGGAACCAATGGCTCAAAAAGTTAAAAATGCTCTTCCTTCCTGAGGGGATGGGGGGAGGGAGCCAATTCCCTTGCCTTGAAGAGAAAGGCAGGTGAGAGATGGGCTGCTTTCCATCTCTCTCCTTTTTTTTACATGCAATTTGAGAGTTGCAGCCTTTGAAGTTCTGTGCAAGCATTTCAAGAATTGCAAAACAAGAAAACACGCTATCCCTTTCGCGTGCTGCCCCCTCTTTATTTTATTTTAGTGCTTCTTTTCTACCTGCAGGAACCTTTAAAAAACGTCTAAAATGTATAGAAAAGCATCCTAGTCACGACGGGGGGGATCTCTCCCAGCCCTCCCAAAAGAGAACAGCAAAAAAAAATAAATAAAGAAATAAATAAAAAGAACATCCTGAACTCCGCGAAATTAATTAGGGGGAAGCCAATCCAAGGCTCAAAGGGAACGACTGACACATGCAAATGAGGGGCGGGCTCAACCCGCACGCGCGGGCCGGACCGGCCAATCCCAACCCGCCCTGGATCATCCTGTGGACCACGACTCGCAAAGGCAACCTTGGCGACGATTTGCATAAATTAGCATACGAAAAAGGCTCCAGCCGCAAAAGGGGCGGAGCCCTGAGGAACCGCCCCCATCCTCCTCGCCCGGGCCGTTCACGACACTAACCATCCCAAAGCGGGGCCGCCCGTCGTCGGAACCCGCTCGGACTCCCTCAGGTGCTACAAAAAGCGGGGACGGAGTTCCAAAGCGCCCGAGCTCAACCGTCACCACAGCAGCACCGCCGCCTCCCCTCAGTATTAGGCCTCCCCATTGGCTCCTCTCCGCACGCGCCGGGCCCGCAAGTAAGCGCCTTCGGGATTGGACGCTGCGTCGGGCATGCGCGCGCGCGAGAGAAAAAGAGCCGCATTGGGCGGCGATTGGCTGGAAATAAACGATACTGGAGCGGAGAGGGAGAGTCAGCTTTTGTAGGCGGGCCTTCCTTCGGATTGGTTCCAAAGGCAAGGGCGGAAGAACCAATGGGCGAGGAGTCCGGCGCTCGGCCGATTCTCGGCCTAGGGGCGGAGGGGAGGCGGAGCCGACAAGAGGGAGGAGCCGGCAGGTATGCTGGGCACTGATTGGAGGAGAGCAGAGGTGGGCGTGGTGGCAGAGCCACGCTCGTGGGAACCCACCTGTCCGTGTCATCTGGAAGCACGGAGGGGGGATCGTGTGTGGGACGCGGTGGGAAGAGCCAAGGCGGCGGCATCGGGGAGAGGAGGAGGCGCCGCGTCGGGCGGAACAGCCGGGAGCGCGTGCCTTTCAAGACGTGAGTTCCGCAGGCTCCCTAACTTCTGCGGTCGTGTGAAAGAGTCGTTATCGTGTTGGGTGTTTATTTTTAACTTGTTTGCTCCTTATTTCCACTTTCTTGTCTTCTTGCTCTCCGGCTAAAAAGGGCCCCGAGAAAGCTTGCACGTTGATATTGACAAATCTAAGCTTCCTTGCAGGCTTGCACGAGGATGAAGGGAGGGCAGCAGAAGAGGAAAGCGGGATGCGGAGGGAAGAGGAACAACGGAAAGCTCTCCCCCTCAGATCCTTAAAGTTACTATTAATTTCCTTGTCGGAATAATAGGATAATTCTAGTTAGGGGGAAAGAAACGGAGTTCTTCTTAAGAGAGTCGGTGGTAACCTTTTATTTATTTAATTAATTAATTAATTTTTAATTTTAGGGCAGCAGAAGAGGAAAGCGGGATGCGGAGGGAAGAGGAACAACGGAAAGCTCTCCCCCTCAGATCCTTAAAGTTACTATTAATTTCCTTGTCGGAATAATAGGATAATTCTAGTTAGGGGGAAAGAAACGGAGTTCTTCTTAAGAGAGTCGGTGGTAACCTTTTATTTATTTAATTAATTAATTAATTTTTAATTTTATTTTATTCTTTTTCCTTTTTTCACCTTGGTGGAATAAGTGATTATAGGTACCAATTATTACTTATTAAGGTAAGGTTGTTATCTTAGTGAAATTAAATTAGCGCTACTGGTAGAGGTCTGTGGACTGATTGAAGTGTGATGCCTATGGTGCAGGATCTTGATTTGTGAAAAGATGACAAAAATCTGTAGTAGTCGATTTTTCTCATTAAAAGAAGCTGTCAAGGAGGTTGACTGCTGAACAGGTCACTCTGGCTCCTTCTCACCCAGCACCTTTTTGCTAATGATCTGCCGTGTGTATTTAATACTTCACTACTGGAATATGGAGGATGAAGGGAGTGATGCAGCAGAAAAGGAAAGCGGGATGCGGAGGGAAGAGGAGCAGCGGAAAGCTCTCCCCCTCAGATTCTTAAAAGTTACTACAGTGGGGTCTTGACTTGAGAACTTAATCCGTATTGGAAGGCGGTTCTCAAGTCAAAAAGTCTGTAAGTCAATCTGGCTCCCTCTCACCCAGCACCTTTTTGTTAATCATCTGCCATGTGTATTTAATACTTCACTACTGGAATATGAAACTTTTGTGAAGAGGAGAGGAGCAGAATGTTGTTGAGTTTTGAAATGTTATAGTTAACTTTCCTCAACTGTGCAGAGGAAGTGCAGGGACTCGCAGATTAAAACAGCATCAATTTCCCAAATAGTCCACCCCTCTCTGATTAATTGGCACTTATACTCTCAAAAATTTACTCTGCAATATTAATAGTATAAAAAATATTTTTTTTCATTTACTTACAAATGTGAATATAGCAAAAAGTTAGCAACATGACTGCTTTTAACAATTCTGCTTCAATGTACTTTAACAGACATTTTCTACCAACCACCATTAACGGATTAGAGAGTCGGGCTGGTAGTTGAGAAATCAAGTACAGTACTAGACTAGAGATGGGCACAAACTGTTGGTTTATGGCTAAACCACAAACCACCACAACCCTCCATAAAAAAACAAACCAGTTTGCTGTTTGTTTTTCTGGTTTGTGCTGGCGGGGGGGGCATCTCCTTTTGCCAAAGCAAACGAAACGGCAAAGGGAAAATTTAGCATTTCGGTTTGTTTGGGTAGAACGAAACACGAACCAACCCAATTCACCGGGGTGTTTGATTCGTGGTTCATTTTGTGCCCGCCTCTATACTAGACCTTCCTGGGCCACGAAATTTCTGAGTCCTCTTGGCCAGCCGTGCTGAAGCTAACTCTGTAAGAGTTATTGTGAAGTAAAGAGTTAAAAAAAGGATGTGTTCTACTTGGACTCATTAGTTGAAAGTACAAATGAAATGAATAGTAATGCATATTAAAGGGTTGGGTTGTTGTTGTTTTGAAATGTTTGCATGCTTTAAGTATGTATTTTAAACCTAGGGATAAAAAGAGTGAGAACCATTGTATTCCCTTAAGAGGAAGACGTCGTGATACAGCTAATATTGCGCCGATATGGCCACACGACTGAGGCCGGTAAGCTAGTTTATTTCTTCCAGCTATCTTTTCTTTACTTTCAGTGAGAAGGGGGCGTTTTTTGGTTGTTGTTGAAACTAGCCCAGCAGTGTACCAGATGGTCCCAGGATCTGCTAATTGATCTCAGTGTAAATCAGTGCTGGAGCTGATGGACATCTGTGGCCTAGAAACAGTCGAGGATTGCAAATGTTCTGCCTTCCAAGTATGGTGGAGTTTGGCTCCTCAAAACCTGACCCAGCACGGCCCCTGTCAAAGATGATGGGACTAGCCATTCAGAAACATCTGGAGAGCTTAATGTCCCCTATCCAGACAGAGTCAATAGTCTGTGTTTTGACATCTAGTAGGACCCCTTTGTCCGTGGGATCAGTATCTGCTTCTTCACTTAGCCGTGGTCTGAAAATATTAAAAGAAAAATCTCAGAAAAATATATTTCTAACAGTTGATTTAACAGAACTGGTCACTAGAGATGGGGGTATTCGTATATGAATACGAATATTGCTGTGCAGCTGGAGTTAACGGGGATCCACTAACTGGGGCGGGCCTGTCCCGGCAAGAGGAGGGAGGATAAGTCTTCCTGCATAGCTGCTGAGTCGTTTGCCACGCAGGAAGAGAGAGGGGCTGGAAGGATGAGCAAGGCTGCCACCGCTGGATGGGCGAGTGGACGGTCCGGTCCCGGGGGGCAGATCACCGTTAACTCCAGCTGCACGGGGAAATTTGTGTTCATGCACGAATACCCCCATCTCTCCTGGCTTCTAAAGGGAGCCAGAGACCAAGCTATGTATAGTGTTTGCTCTTATAATACTTCTTTAGTCTCTGCGGTGGGGTTTGGAACCGATTCCCCGCATCTATGGGGGTCCTGCTGTATCTTATGATACCTCTATATTCCTTTCTACATAGAGGACCTGTTGCGAAGCCTGCTTTTCCATCAAGATCTGAACACTGTCTTCTGCATAGGGACTCAAACTGTACTAAACTATTGGAATAGTTTGTAGCAGTGTGTGTGTGATAGAATACCATCACGAACGGATTTGCCACTTAGAATATCATCGGACCGAGAAATCACTCTGTTTTGGACCATTTGTGGCACCGTCCACTGTGAGCTATTTTCCTGTGGTCACACAATGCGCAGGATAATCGTGAACTGGTCTGACCCTACTCTGCACTCAAGGTGGACTTTTTCGGTCCAGTGACATGGCTCCTCTTTTTTTGGAGCCAGGCTGAGAGGATTCCTGCACAGATGGAAAGATCATTTTAAGGGAGGCCGTTCCCAGCAACTCAGCCCTTTCCACTCTGATCAAAGTGATCCTTCCTTACCATCTGATCGCATTCTCTGTTGCGGCTCTTGATGGAATGAATTCTTTCATAACCCTTTCCTCTTACTGAGAGCCAAGAAAAGTTCCACCTTTTGTTTTGTTTTGGCTAACATTTGTACCTGCCCACTAGTGGCTGGGCTTGTTGGAGGATTCTGGGAATTGTATTCCAGAAAATGAATGTTTTCCAAGTCCTGCTTTCCTACAAAAGTCCTGTGTGAATGCAAAGACCTATTTATTCAGTGCTGTGTTGCTAAGAAACGTTCTGTATTTGTATCTGCTGTTTCTTGTTGTGGCTCTTTTGAACAGGCTAGTAAGAAGTGCGCTGTCATAGGTGGCTCGGGGTTTCTGGGTCAGCACATGGTGGAGCACCTCGTGGGAAAAGGCTACACAGTCAACGTGTTTGACATCCGCAAGGGCTTTGATAATAACAAGGTCCAGTTTTTCCTCGGTGATCTCTGCCGTAAGGAGGTATGAACCAAACTATTTTAGACTACGTGAAAGCACAAAACTAGTTGAAGAAGTCCATTCATGTACAAGAGGGGACCCAGATTTCAAATGGTTTTCTTTAAAGTATTGAATAATGCCAAAGATCATCATATCTGTACTCTCTTATCCATAGTATTATTAATGGCAATACTATCCTGGACTACCATTATTATATATTGACACCCTGCTAGAAAGACAAACAAATTAGGTCCTAGATCAAATCAAGTCTGGAGGCAAAAATGCTGTCCTACTTTGGGCACATCATGAGGAGGCAGGATTCTCTGGGAAAGACAGTAATACTGGGAAAGATAGAAGGCAGCAGGAAAAGAGGAAGACCCAACACGAGGTAGACTGACTCCCTAAAGGAAGCCACAGGCTTGAGTTTGCAAGAGTTGAGCTGTTGAAGACAGAACGTTTTGGAGACTCCTCCTTCATAAGGGTCACCCTAAGTTGGAGGCAACTGGATGGCAGATAACAACAATTAATGGTAGTCGTGATCATAGTTATAATTAATAAGATGTTACTGTATCCTCTCTTTTAAAATCACCTTTTGAGGTTGTGTCTCAACCACAGATGTGAGAAGTCAGGCTTTTTAAAGTTCAGTCCCCTAGGCTGGCATTGATATTCTGGGAGTTGTGGTTGAAAAAAGAAATTTTCCCCATTGTGGTGTGTTGTGCCTCCTTTCAGCTGAGCAGCCCAGGCCTTAGGGTCCTTGGATCCCGTTGCAACTGTGGCAATTCCTCCCCAGAGAGCCGCCTTCTGACCCTCCTCTTCTTTTGCCTCCCCTTCTCGCCCAGGATCTGCTCCCCGCTTTGGAGGGGGTCACGGTTGTGTTTCACTGTGCCTCCCCAGCGCCGTCCAGCAACAACCGGGAACTGTTTTATGCAGTGAACTACTTGGGGACGAAAGTGGTCATTGAGGCTTGTAAAGAAGCTGGCGTCCAGGTAAGGGCAGGTCTGGAGGAAGGCAGCAGGAAAAGAGGAAGACCCAACACGAGGTAGACTGACTCCCTAAAGGAAGCCACAGGCTTGAGTTTGCAAGAGTTGAGCTGTTGAAGACAGAACGTTTTGGAGACTCCTCCTTCATAAGGGTCACCCTAAGTTGGAGGCAACTGGATGGCAGATAACAACAAATGGTAGTCGTGATCATAGTTATAATTAATAAGATGTTACTGTATCCTCTCTTTTAAAATCACCTTTTGAGGTTGTGTCTCAACCACAGATGTGAGAAGTCAGGCTTTTTAAAGTTCAGTCCCCTAGGCTGGCATTGATATTCTGGGAGTTGTGGTTGAAAAAAGAAATTTTCCCCATTGTGGTGTGTTGTGCCTCCTTTCAGCTGAGCAGCCCAGGCCTTAGGGTCCTTGGATCCCGTTGCAACTGTGGCAATTCCTCCCCAGAGAGCCGCCTTCTGACCCTCCTCTTCTTTTGCCTCCCCTTCTCGCCCAGGATCTGCTCCCCGCTTTGGAGGGGGTCACGGTTGTGTTTCACTGTGCCTCCCCAGCGCCGTCCAGCAACAACCGGGAACTGTTTTATGCAGTGAACTACTTGGGGACGAAAGTGGTCATTGAGGCTTGTAAAGAAGCTGGCGTCCAGGTAAGGGCAGGTCTGGAGGTGCCGAGCAGATGGCAAGAGACCGGGCGCTGCTGCTGGCAGATTCATGGAGCAGAGTGAGATGTCCTTCAGTGTTTATTAGCCCATGACATCCATGGGAAAATCATTATTAGGAATGGGGGACGAGGCACAATAAGAGAGTGTAATGAGAAAAGTTTTCCAGGTTCTATTAATGGCTATAAAGTGATGCTGACCTTGCTGGAAGCAGTCTCCTTTGAGTACCACTTTCTCGATGGGCCTGACCCTCCCCTTCTTTTGCCTCCACTTCTTGCCCAGGATCTGCTCCCCGCTTTGGAAGGGGTTACGGTTGTGTTTCACTGCGCCTCCCCAGCGCCGTCCAGCAACAACCGGGAACTGTTTTATGCAGTGAACTACTTGGGGACGAAAGTGGTCATTGAGGCTTGTAAAGAAGCTGGCGTCCAGGTAAGGGCAGGTCTGGAGATGCCGAGCAGATGGCAAGAAACCAGGCACTACTGCTGGCAGATTCATGGAGCAGAATGAGATGTCCTTCAGTGTTTATTAGCCATGACATCCAGAGCATGTGAAAATCATTATTAAGAATGGGGGACGAGGCACGATAAGAGATTGTAATGAGAAAAGTTTTCCAGGTTCTATTAATGGCTATAAAGTGATGCTGACCTTGCTGGAAGCAGTCTCCTTTGAGTACCACTTTCTTGATGGGCTGGGGAGAAGCAGCCGAGAGAGAGCTGTGGCCTTTGGTATTTGCACCTAGACTTCCCAGTATCATCATCCTCAATACATGGCAGAGCAGCATTCTGGCCTGGGTGGACTCTGGCTTCTTGCATTTCCCCTGATGATTTTAAAGTTATACAGTCGTGCCTCACTTTACGATTGCCCTGCATTACAACAATCTTTTTGCGATCGCAAAACGATGGTCTAAATGATTTTTTTTTCGCTTTGCGATGATTGGTTCCCTGCTTCGGGAACCGATTCTTTGCAAAACGACGATTTTAAAACAGCTGATTGGCGTTTTCAAAATGGCCGCCGGGTAAACAAAATGGCTCCCAGCTGTTTTCTGGGACAGATTCCTCGCAAGACAGGCAGCAAAAACAGCTGCCCTATGGAGGATCTTTTCTGGACGTTGATTTTTGACCCCATTGGAACGCATTGAAGGGGTTTCAATGCGTTTCAATGTTTTATTTTATTTTATTTTTGCTTTAGGATGTTTTCGCTTAGCGGTGATTTTCCTGGAACAGATTATCGCCATTAAGCGAGGCACCACTGTATGTTTCCCCTGGTTATTTAAAAGTTACATCTAGTTTCTCCTCCCTGTAAGTTCAAGACAGCAAATAGGGTTCTCCTCCTGATTTATTGATTTCCCCTGATGATTTTAAAGTTATACAGTCGTGCCTCACTTTACGATTGCCCTGCATTACAACAATCTTTTTGCGATCGCAAAACGATGGTCTAAATGATTTTTTTTCGCTTTGCGATGATTGGTTCCCTGCTTCGGGAACCGATTCTTTGCAAAACGACGATTTTAAAACAGCTGATTGGCGTTTTCAAAATGGCCGCCGGGTAAACAAAATGGCTCCCAGCTGTTTTCTGGGACAGATTCCTCGCAAGACAGGCAGCAAAAACAGCTGCCCTATGGAGGATCTTTTCTGGACGTTGATTTTTGACCCCATTGGAACGCATTGAAGGGGTTTCAATGCGTTTCAATGTTTTATTTTATTTTATTTTTGCTTTAGGATGTTTTCGCTTAGCGGTGATTTTCCTGGAACAGATTATCGCCATTAAGCGAGGCACCACTGTATCTAGTTTCTCCTCCCTGCAAGTTCAAGAGAGCAAATAGGGTTCTCCTCCTGATTTATTGTTACAATAGAAGTAGGTCGGTCTGAGAGAGGATGACTGACCCAAGGCCACTCGAGTTTGAAGGACGAGTGGGGATGTGAGCCTGCATCTCCTTTGAATCTTCTATGTTCAAAATGCTAACTCAGGAGTGGGGAAAATATGGCTCTTTAGATGTTGTAGGACAATAATTCCTCGTGTCCCTCACTTTTGGCTGCACTATTTTCTTTTTATTTATTTGTTTGGGAGTATGTTTACCCAACCTTTCTCTTTAAAAAGGAGCCAAAGTGGTTTACATCGTTCAAAGGCGACACTTAAATCTAAAAACAGCAAGTATACAAAGACTAAAAAAGATCAAACAGATGCCACACAAAACAATGGTAAACAAAAGCAACATCAAAAGCACATTCAAAGCAATAAGGCAAAGTAATCCATTAAAAAAAAACCCACTCAGGCAGCCAGTTATTGAGGGAAGGCTCGCCTAAAGAGAAAGGTCTGCCTGCTTGCAGAAGGGAAGCAAAGATCAGGGCCAGCCTGGCCTCCAGTGGGAGGGAGTTCCAAAGTCTGGGGAGCAGCCACAGAGAAGGCCCTCTCCTGTGTCCCCACCAAATGCACCTGTGAAGGTGGGGAGGCCCAGAGAAAGACCTCTCCTGATGATCTTAACACCCGGGCAGGCTCATAGACGTTCTCCCTGAGAGGGCTTGGATCCAAGCCATGTAGGGTTTTATCGATTAAAGCCACCACTTTGGATGGTTACTGGAAACAGAGTGGCAGCCAACGGAGCTGCTGTAAGAGGAGATGGGGAGAGTCGCTGCCCGGCATGGCCTGGATGACTTCCCAGCGCCCTCACGGCTACACCCACGTGGCTCTTGCCACCACCACATGGTCTACGTCTTCTGACAAAGCACTCCTTTTTCTTCCTTCTTTGATCTCGCACTAGAAACTGGTGTTAACCAGCAGTGCCAGCGTCGTCTTTGAGGGCACGGACATCAAGGATGGTTCGGAGGACCTGCCGTATGCCAAGAAGCCCATTGACTACTATACGGAAACCAAGATTCTGCAGGAAAAGGTCTGGTTGGCTTCCCATGTTTACTATCGTGCCACAGGCAGGGATAGGCAGCACGAGGTCAAATGAAGCCCAGCAGCGGATCAGCATCAGCATCTTAGAACTGCACAGCTGGAAGGGATCCTATGGATCATGGAGAGTCCAGCTTCTGTCAAGGAGGCCCAGTTGACTACTATACGGAAACCAAGATTCTGCAGGAAAAGGTCTGGTTGGCTTCCCATGTTTACTATCGTGCCACAGGCAGGGATAGGCAGCACGAGGTCAAATGAAGCCCAGCAGCGGATCAGCATCAGCATCTTAGAACTGCACAGCTGGAAGGGATCCTATGGATCATGGAGAGTCCAGCTTCTGTCAAGGAGGCCCAGTCCAGTGTGTGGATCATGGAGAGTCCAACTTCTGTCAAGGAGGCCCAGTGGGGGAATCAAACTCCCAACCTCCGGCTCTACAGCCAGAGATCTAGACCCCTGAGCTATCTAGCAGATCTCTGGGTGAGCTGCAGTTGCTTAGCGAGACATTTTTTTTAAGCTCAGGTTATTGGCTGACAAGCTCTGTTCCAAATCTGGAGGCTTAGAATTCTTGAACGGTGGTAAAACAGGTGGCTCTGCAAGTCATCTTTGTTTCTCTGCTATATGATGCCCCAGGTGTGCTGGCTATACACCTGATGGCCCAGCAACATCTGGAGAGCCACATATGGTTATCCCTGAGCCTAGGCTAATCTAATAAATCACAGAGGGGACTGCATCAGAGACAGAAAAGGCCATTTCTGGCCCTCTCAGTGTACCAGGGTAAGGCAAAACATAGGAGAATTTATTTCTGTGCTCCCGTTGAATGCGTGAAAAATGCTCTTACAGAAGAGAAGCGCTGTTTTTGTCGATCTAACAGTCCTGTAAAATGGGTTGTTTATTTAAAATATTTTTACCCCACCTTTTCCCCTTAAAAAGGACCCAAGACAGCTTACGTCATGAAAAAGACAATATTTAAAAGCTAAAGACAATATTCAAAAGTGAAAAAAACAGTAAGTATAGAAATATTTTAAAGGAATCAAACAACTATATTAAAAACGGTAAATAAAATCAATCCTATATTAAAAACGTTAAATAAAATCAATAGTATAAGCAACAAGACCCTATGATTGATTTTAAAAAATCCATGGCAGACAGCCAGTGTATAAGCAACAAGACCCTATGATTCATTTTAAAAAATCCATGGCAGACAGCCAGTCACTAAGGGAAAAAACCTTCCTGAAGAGGAAGGTCTTGGCCTGCTTGCAGAAGGACAGCCAAGATGGGGTCAGCCTGGTTTCCAGTGGGAGGGAGTTCCAAAGTCTGGGAGCAGCCACAGAGAAGTCCCTCTCCCGTGTCCCCACCAAGCGCACCTGTGAAGGTAGCAGGACTGAGAGAAAAGCCTCCCTGAAAGGGAGATGCAGCCCTTGAGATTAGGTTGAGAGCTGATCCAGCCCAGACTTGGGCTTCCAAAGTCCCAGTTCCCCCGTACTATCCTCTTCTAAAATCTCAACACTGTGTGTAGCGACTTGGAAAGAAAAATCTGAGTAGGCTTGATGCAGGCAATTTGTTTAAAGCTGTATGTTCTTTTTCTTTTTAACAGTGTTCTCTCTCCTAATGTTGCATGGACTCACAGCTCTATGTCCCTTTCAGGAGGTGCTGAGCGCCAACAATCCAGAGGGCCCTTTCCTCACTGTTGCCATCCGTCCACACGGCATATTTGGGCCACGAGACCCTCAGCTGGTGCCCATTCTCGTCCAGGCAGCCAAGAGTGGCAAAATGAAGTTCGTCATTGGGTAGGCCACCTTGCCGGTTGGGCAGAATTACAGTGGTGCCTGGCATAGCGACAATCCATTCTGGATATATCGTCGCTATCTGGAAACGTTGCTATACGGGGCAGAAAACCCCATAGGAACGCATTAAACTCCGTTTAATGCTTTCCTGTGGGCGGAAAACTCACCGTTAAGCGAAGATTCCCCATCCGGACGCCATTTTGCCGCCTCGGTAAGCGAGGGCAGGGCGCGAAAACAGAGCGGGCGGCCATTTTCTTCATCCGGCGGCCATTTTGGAACCGCCGATCAGCTGTTCTGCAAACATCACAATGCGATGTTTTACCTATTAAAACATCGCAATGCGATTGCAAAAGCAATTGCAAAATCCACATTGCTATGCGGATTCGTCGTTAAACGGTGCGCTCGTTATGCGAGGCACCACTGTATATTGTCCATGTTGCAAACCCTTCGTTTGCCCTTCGGCCGCAGTTTGAGGCTCCCAAAATCCCTTGACCAACGTCTTTGCTACTGGAATCTTCTGAGAATTGAAGCGGAAAACCAACCCAAATTATTGGGCTGTTTGAACGGGTCCGGCTTTTGTCCCAATGCCTGGATTTTAACAGGGATCTCATGAAACAGAGCTGGTGCACGGCGGTCAGTCATTTTTAATGTACAGTACTGCTTGGGCCTAGAGCCGTGCCTAGTGGGTGTTCTCGGGAGTGATGGTCCAGAAAAAAATTAATGTTTTTCTAAGCACTGGTTGGAACTTGGCCAGGGGTGATCTGTTTTGACTTAGCAGTTGAGGACCCTTGGCTTTTTGTGAAACGTTAAACTTCAATTCTTTTCCTTGTCTCCGGGCAGTGATGGGAAAAACTTGGTGGATTTTACATATGTAGAGAATGTGGTCCATGGACACATCCTGGCTGCGGAGCAACTTCAGAGAGATTCTCCCTTGTGCGGGAAGGTGAGTCTGCCTTTTTTTCTGTTGCATTAAAGGTACTTGGGGAAGAAAAGCTACTCCCTACTTCACTTCACTTCTACACCACACCATTAGTGCAAGCACTACTGTGGGTGGGAAGTAGCAGGATTGGTCGTTGAAGGTGGCTTTGCACAATTCTGTTTTCGCCAGGTTCACAAACTTAAGGAGGGGAAGGAGCCTGGCATATCTCACTTGGTAACTTACTCCACAAATTAGGGGCCACCATTGAAAAGGCCCGATTCCTCGTTGTCACTTTTTTTGGCTTCCAACGGTGTGGCCGCTTTTAGCAACGTGAACGGAGAGGAGAGGACAGGTTTATGTACGTACTGAAACTCGTTCCTAATTTACCTGAAGATTTGCTGATACAGGATAATGTACAAGCAGCAACTTGGAGAGAATGAATCCAGCAATCTGATGGTACAGAAACCAAGCCGTTGCCTCACTAAGGCCCTGAAGGCTTGGCAGATAGCCAGTTTTTTTGTATGCTGCCAAAAGAAGAGCCTGAAGGGGGCAAGTGTTTCAGATCCAGAATGTTTGCATCATTTTTTTTATCCCAGTTCCTTCCAGTGCCCCTTAGCAGCTGAACCGCAATGCCCATGCTCCCCCTTATTGTTGGTTAGGGATGATGGGAGTTGCAATCCAGCTGCTTCTGGCCAAATGTGAAAAAAAATAATTTTTTTCATGGCACGGCTGCTAGAATCCGACAGCCATCCTCGCTGGCTCTGGGATTCTGGGAGTTTTATTTCAAAAAAGAAACTCGTCCAGGCAATCTCAATTCTGCAGGACCCCATATTTCCTATCGTTCTGCAGATTTTAGTGCCAGTAGCGAGCAGCGCTCTTCCTAAAGCCCTTTTCCGTTGTCACAGCTTGACCTTGATTATTTTTGTCTGCTTTTTTTTTTTTTTAACTCACAGGCGCTTCACATCACAAACGATGAGCCGATCTCCTTTTGGGTGTTCATGTCTCGCATCCTGATAGGCTTGGGCTATGAGGCTCCCAAATACCGCATCCCTTACTGGCTCGCCTACTACCTGGCCTTCCTCTTATCCTTGGTGCTGATGCTGCTCAGGCCTTTCATCATCATCAATCCTACCTTCACCCCTATGCGAGTAGCCCTGGCGGGGACCTTCCACTACTACAGCTGCGAGCGAGCCAAGAAGCTCATGGGCTACAAGCCCCTGGTCAGCCTCCGTGAAGCCATTGAGAAGACAGTCGAGAGCTACCCCCACCTCCGCCGGACAGCGTAGCTGTTGGGGAACCCCAAAGAGCATCTAGAATCTACGCCGGGAACTAGCTGTCCACTGTATCACCCTTCACTCTGGCCTCTGCAGCCGTGGTCCGGGATTGCTCTGATGTAACAGCCGTTTGCGGCTAACGTGTTATAAGAAGCATCCCTGGAATGGTCTTTACCCTGGATGAAAGAATTCCTTAAGCAGTAATAATAATAATAATCTTGGAACCACAGCGCTGGAAAGGACTCAATGGATTGTCGAGTCCAGCCCTTGTCTAGGAGGCACCGTACGGGAATCAAACTCCCAACTTCTGGCTCTGCAGCCAGATGCCTAAACCACTGAGCTATCCAAGAAATAGTTTGGCTTCAGGCAACTTCAGCATTCCTTCTCTGATCAGGCCTTTCGCACTCTTCCATTTTCCAAGCAAAGCAAAGTACGTAAAGCAAATTTGCTCAGCTTTTGATTTTGATTTTTTTTGGAAGGCCCGGCTCTTTCCAAGACTTTGAATGCCAATGATGCACCTCCACTCTGCTCCGATCTCGGTTACTCCAAGGATGTCTGGGTCTTTTGGACTGGCGCGGGAGGGAGTGCTGGAGTGCCCTACCGCTGTGGTGCAGCCTTCCTAAAATTCATCTTCATCTTTAATTTCTAATGCAATTCTTGAGTAACACTATGAAACTAAGCTCCCTATTTCTGGAAATACCCACCTGTACGTTGCTGTCTGCTTTCCTGAAATGCATAAACATGGGTCAGGATGTGATTGTTAAATAGATCTGTTTTTTGCCGCTTAATCCCTGTGTAGAAGTCTTTTTTACACAGCAACGCCTTCCTGTAATGTCATTTAGCAGTGTTGGTTCCAAGACCTGCAAGCAGTAACCTTAACCTAAAAAGACAGATTTTGGCCACTGTGGAGTTTCCCAAAGCTTGTAGTAGCAGGCAGGTGTTAATGCTGATAATTTGTGTTTAATAACTGAGCCACACTCACTGGTGCCAGCTGCAGGATCTCTCCTTTTTGGAACCACTCAAAGGCTTTCTTCCTCTGCCCTTGAATTTGTTCTGGCATCTTAAGCTATCTCATGGCTTCTGAAAGAGATTGTCCTTTAATTGGGCAAAGAAAGGGAGGCCTAGAACAATTGTCTGGGGCTCTGGTGTAGTGAGATTTTGGCAAGGGTACAAAACAAAGGATTCCTGATCATGTCCTTGCCAGGACAGCCAATGGTAAGGAATCCTGGCAGCTGTAGTCCAGTAGGTATCCTTCAGTCTCCAGAGATTATGGGAATGTGCTCTGAATAGAGGACATTGACCACCGTCTAGTGTGGCTGACGAGGCCAATTCGAGAGTGACAGTCCCTTCCATACTGAAGACAAATACAATCTGTCCCCTGTCCAGCTCCCCAATTTTGCTGCTTCCAGGACTGCCTCTTTGCCTCGGCCTGCTGGACAAGGATCTCTTCAAATTGGGAGAGGCCATGATGCACCGCCTGCCTCCAGGCTGAACGCTCAGAGGTCAAGGTTTCCTATCTGTTGAGGTCCATTCCTAAGGCTTTCAGATCCCGCTTGCAGATCTCCTTGTATCGCAGCTGTGGTCTCCCTCGGGGGTGATTTCCCTGCACTAAGTCTCCATATAGGATATCTTTTGGAATCCGACCATCAGCCATTCTCACAACGTGCTCAAGCCAACATAGACATCGGTGTTTCAGTAATTTGGGCAGCTGCACTCCAGCAGCGTCCAAATAGTCTGCCTTTCCCCACTCCTGCTTTTGAGATTTTTTACTGTTTCTAACAAAACCATTTCATAGGGCTGTTCTTTAAAAAGCAGAAATCACTCTTATCCTCTGTTACTGGGTTACGAATTTCTGGGTAAAATTCCTTTGCGCTCCAAAATAGAAGCACAGAGGCCCACATGGGAGAATAGCGACATGTTCTCCAGATAGTCTATTGCTGTCTCATCAACAGATACTTAAAATTTCAATAACTCACTCCTGAGACATTTGTAGAAGAAAAATAAAAAAAACACATTTCATTACTTGCAATTGCAAACAGATCAACAGCAAGCTAAGAATGGCTTCCAACAGACTAAAGAAGGGGAAAGGGAATTCAGTAGAGAGGTGGGTCTCTGCTTGAATTCAGAGACGGGAGGGAATGATGGATGTGTATCTCGGTTTTCCAAATCTGGGAGCTAGAGTGAGCGTTTTTGCAGTCCCTGATTGTAGCTGCTTGATGCCACTTCATATTTGAGGAGAGAATTCTGAGGATCTCGGATGAAAAATCCCAGGATTATTTAGAAGGAAACCATAACAGTGGTATCAAACTGATACAGGTGGGTAATGTAAACGCACTCTTAGGATACGTCGTAATATTGTCCAAACTAATACTAGATTGCTACAATTGACAGATACCTTGGAATTCTTCTGTAAAAGCAGGAGATGCTTTGTACAGATAAAGAATACAACGGGGAAAAGAAAGCCTTCCTGTTAGCAAAATTTCATCTCTTGTGTATTCCTTTTCCCTAAAATCCTTGGCTCAGCTCACTGTGGACAGGTGACTATCCTGTGGTCCATTTCCAGTGCCGGCAGGCATGTCAGTTGCTGTCGATTGCAAGAATGGAGAATGTGTTTTGGCCCCCGAGGGTGGGAAATTCCAGTTTGGGAATGATCTGGAGAGTCATATTCCAGCTAAGGCTGAGGTGGAAGCTGCAGGAGGAGACCAAAGCAAAGAGGGTGGAACCAGTTGTAGACTGGAGGTAATTCCTCTCCACTTTCAGATCACACATGTAACGTACAGCCCAGTTTTGGACATCTCTACTAAGGAGTAAGCTCCAGGAAAGCAGTTTTCTGGACTGTGCCCCAGAACTTGGTTCCATGCAGTGCTTTCTAGAACTTGCACAGTTATAATGTAAGTCCTCTATGCATATTCCTGATACAGTTCAAAGAAAAAACGTGTCTTAATTTTTGCATGAAAAGTCCCGTAGTAATAATAATCAAGCTAGCTGAATAGCTAGGGAATGCCAAGTCACTTCTGAGTATGTTCTACCTGGAAAACTCAGAAAGGGGTCACCGTAAGTCAAAATTGTTTTTGACTTACGGTCATTATAAACTGCTTAAGGTATCTGGCTACACAGCCGGAGGTTGGGAGTTCAATTCCCCGTTGTGCCTCCTGGAAGAAGAACCAGCCTGCGTAGCCTTGGGCTAGCTGGACAGTCTCAAGGGTGCCCCCTAGAGGAAGGGAATAGTAAACCACTATTGCATAATTACTACCAAGAAAACTCTGGAAAGGGATGGTTTTGACTCGATGGTGCACAATTATTAAACATTGTCAGCAACTTTTTTGACGCATCATCAAGTTCTGCCTCTAGATGGTGCACATCAGCCATAATTCTGTATACAGTACTTCTATAGAAATAATATTGCAATTAAAAAAATATATTAAGAATTTTACAGTTTTCTGCCATTCCTGGACACCTAAAATCTTCCATCTAAAGAGAGGAAGGAATGTCTGTCTCTGCCCACACAGACAACACAAATGTGACAGAAAAACCCTGAACGCACCCTATGAGCAACTTTTCACTGGTTTTAAAAAGTTGCAATTGCTGCTGTGTTTTCAGAGTCCCTGTAATGATTAAATTCTCTATCCAGCTGGAAGCTAGAAGCTACAAGGAATTAAATTCGACTGAATTCAGAGGTGATGATTTCCTGCTCCCTGTCTAGGTAAGACTCCGTTACCTTAAACAAGAAACCCACCTTGCCTCGCTATGGGGCAGGTTATTGGTGGATCCCCCACCCCAAAACCCCCACACACTCCATCTCCTCCTGGATCAGACTGGAATCCAGGGATCCCTAATGATGACAGCCTGACCACAATGATGTGGCAAATTTCAATCTCTTTCCCTCCTTTTCCACCCTTCTAGACTTTGGAGAGAAAGTGAGTGTATGGGGAGGTTGAGTTGGGAAAGACAAGAGAAATGGGGTGGTGGTGGAGGATGCGTGGGCATGCGCAAGCATATGTATTAGCTGTTATTTCCATGTCTTTCCATCCCACTTCCTAAACTCCAAAGCACAGAGGATCCAAGCAGCTTATAGTATTAAAAGAAACAAAGTAAAAAACACACAAATAATAAATTGCTACAATTTTTTTAAAGCATTAAACAAATATATTGAACTCATAGAAGGAGCGAGATTACAAACATCTTAAAAACAAAACATGGCTTCCTGATAGGGAACAATGGGATTGGACCGTGAAAGAATGGATCCAAATTTATTAACAGTGGCAAGATTAATGATAGCAAAGAATTAGAAAGTAAAGGGTGATTGTTCCACTAAATGATTGGTAGAAAGATGTATGGAATTCAGATAATGTGATATCAACATTAAAAGGGGGTTGATAAATAAGAGTATTTTCAGGGATATCTGGGGAGTCTTTGTTGTTGTTGTTTAATCGTGTTTGACTCTTTGTGACCCCATGCACCAGAGCACGCCAGGCCCTCCTGTCTTCCACTGCCTCC